CCAGCAGACCTGGCAGGGGAATTCTGGGAGTTGAAGTCCACACATCTTCAAGTCGCCAAGGTTGAGGAACCCTGTTCTAAAGGAATAAAACTCAAAACATTTCAGCTCTTTTGCCCCAGGGGATGATGGATATTTGAAACAAGCCACAGCAATAGATAGGCCTAAGTACTACCTACCAGCTTACTAAGTACTACGTACCAGCCAGCTCTAGAAAAAATGGCTAGTGTGATGATCTATAACTTTATTAACATTTTAAATTCATAAACAGAGTTAAGTGTGCTATTTGCAGCTGAGTGAGGGCAGGAAACAATCAACAGCAATGGATTTTCTTTAACACAGTCCACAAATAACATAACAATAGTAGAAATACATTTCTTTACCTACTAGCCTGAAGTTTCTGAAGTTCCTGAACAGTGCAGACATTTCTGTTTGGGAACCTATCTGCAAACAAAGGACCATAGTTGTTGCATTGGCAATCTGAAACCACACCTGCTCATTTTCTGACATGCCTGAACAAAAGAAAACGCACATAGAGCACAGAGTTAAAAAGAAAGCAAAAGAAAACGATTTGATCCATTTCTTCTAGATTCTTAATCTCATAAATATTCATAACCCTTTTTTCTCCTTCTCTCACACCCACACCTCCATACAATCAGATGCTCTTAATATTCTTGGCAATGGTCTTACTAATGCTCTTAACAAGGCAGAGCTAGAGATTTATCATTTCTAAGCTACGTTGAGAATCCCAATGATGGGACATAGATTTGAGGAATGTGGTGAAAATAACAGATTCTGCTGGATTTCCTTATGCCATTAGAACAAGGCACAGCTAAAAAGCTAGTTGCTTCCTAAATCATACACAATCAGTTCTGTCTGTTTTAAGCACAAATAAGACAAAGTAAAAGCAAACCTATGTTAATCGTTGTCAGCATCTCACAGTGAATGTCCAGCTGATGTCTTTCAGGGCTATAAGTCATTGTTGTTCTTCTTAGTTGAATATTAATGGGATAAGCCCTATTACTTTTCAATTTATCATTCTTCTCAGTTCATTTCTAGTCACTTAGTAAATATTCAGGAGTAGATTTGAAAATCCTTGTATTTAATTCTTTTTTACCTTTGAAGCTCTTTATTATAGGACCTGCATTAAAAAATGATAGACAGGTGTAGCTTTTTTTTCTTCTTTGCAGTTGGAAATGCATCTAAAAAATTGTTTGCCAACTCTTGCTACTATAAATCCTGTTAACAGGGCCCAAAATATATGAATTACTTCAACATTTGTTTCATTTTTGTTATAGTAGTTATTATTATTTAGTTCTGTATTCAGACTGAAGTCTTGGCATTTTATTTGATCAAGCTTAATAATTTTAATCATGCAATATTTCTTTTATCTTTAATCTTTGCATTGCATTTATTGCTGTTCACTTGCTGCATATTGCTTATTATGAATTCCTTTTTTCTTTTGATTTGTAAAAACCCATTATCAATCTCTTTCATGCATTCCCATATGGTCTACGTTTTCATGCATTTCCAACTGAACAACATTAAGTTCGTCCCAAAGTTCAGGTTTAACATAATTCATCTCTTTGACCAATTTTTCTAATGAACATAGCATTATTCCCTTGTAAATGTATTTGACTCTTAAATCCATCATTTTTCTTAATATTTGTATTCATACATATTTTCCCCAGTCATTAGAAAAAATTAATTATTCACTGTTAACATATTTATATGCTAAATCAAATTAAGTCAGTTAATTACAAATCATTTCATTTATCTCATAATTACTTACAAGTAGTTGAACAAATTATTTAAAAATTGTCTTTCAATTAATTTACAACTAGTTATTTAATGGGTTTCAACATACTAATTATTAGTGAGCTTTAATCAATTTCCAGGCACTTTGGTTTAATTTATTATACTTAAAGGATAAAAAGCTAATTAAAAGCCTTGTTCAAATGTAAATAGTTTACAGTTTATGAATTAACAAAACTTCTATCATCCTATTCTATATATCTAACACTATAATTGTATAGGAGGCATATAGACTTGCATTCATTGGTGTGCCATCACAGCCCAATATGCCATTGTCATTACATTAAGGGCTATTCTGTAAAAAGGAAATTTACATCATATTTAAGTTTCCTCATGGTACAGGATTTTCAATCCTTGGAAGAGATATCAGATGTTTCAGTCCAATCTGGCTGGCCAGGGGTGAGTTCAGCTGGCAATTCCGTATTACTGTAGGCCTCCATTAGTATGTATACAAATAAAAAAATAAACACAGTGTCTGTAACTACTTAAGGCAATTTCCACCTAACAGAAATGTCTGTATTCATTTCCTACCAAGTACTGGCACACTTTAAATAAGCACAATTCAGACCTTAAATCCCAGTAATTTTAGTGTGCATCCTCTATGTATGAATAAATTTGAGAGAATATTTTGTTTCTTTTTACTCTACAATACATCTTGTAGCTTAATTCCTAGATTGAAGTGTGCTATCATTTTCTTTATTGTCACCTAACATATATTATTTCTTATTCATTGTAATAGCATTTTGAAGGTAGAAATACTGTGTGTGGTCCAATATCTTCACAATCTGACATGAACATATTACACCAATTATTATTTTCTATGACATTTTCATTGAAAAACTCCAGTTATTTCATCATCTTTAATATTTGGGGCATCCAGATTTCAATGCAGTTGAGGCTCTTTTTCTT